AAATTGTAATGAAAGTTTTTGTGTGAATATACCTAATTTATCTTTTTACGTAAATAATTTCGAGTAATATATATTGAATAGATTGTGATTTTCACGCTGCCGACATTCGCTTGGTATGTTTTTTTTTTGTGATCAAAATACAATAAATTCTTTTTGTAATGAAGTAAAACCTGGCTTTAGTTTAGACCACAAAATAGAGAGTTTTATATAGATTTATTAATTTTAAAGTTTTTCGCATAAAAGTAGTCTCTAAATATAAGTTTTAATGGTTTTAAGTGCAGTGGGTAGGTAATTGATAGAATCAGGCGTTACTTTGCGGAAATCCGTTATAATAAAAATATAAATTACTTCGCAACCCTCCGCTAACTAAATACAATGATGAATGAATGTCTTACTTGGATTGAAGAGCACCTCCCGCCCTCCCTCAATTGCGTGCACTAACTCCGTCACCACTAGTCCCGGCACCACTTCTTCCTACATCACTATTCCAGGTAAGACACACATCGACGACTCTACGGCGGCTGACGGCTAAGTGAGCGGCGAGCCGAAACAGCTGCTATTTATACACGCCGACACAACCGCTCCCCACTAAAGTAGCGAGTGCGCCGTGCGATAACAAACCTGCGACTAACTATTATTATTCTTATGATTAATATTTTCAATATTATTATTATGGGGTATTAGTAGTGTATTCTCATTTGGTTGGGCTGAATAAATATATGAAAGAAAATTATAAATATACATAAATATATATTTCATATACCAGCACAAATAAATAAAACATAATATAAAACATAAACACTCACGCCTGTCACCCAGAGGGGTAGGCAGAGACTACAGAGTTCCATTTGGCACGATCCTGACACACCTCTCTCGCCTCCTTCACATCCATACACCTACGCATAAATGCTCGTCGGTTAAGGGTACTCCAAATTTGGCCTGTTTTAAATAAATCGTCAAATAAATAAATAATAAATAAATAATAACAAATAAATAAATAATAGATAAATAAATAAAAGCCCAACCAGATTGAGGCCCTCGGCAGGGGAGACCAAACGGCCGGAGGTTAGGGGGAAAGGGAGAGAAACCGGCGGACGATGCGGGCGGTATCGAGGAGCACCGCCTTCTGCATTTGAACCTGGAGTGGTCCGTCACGGAGTCCCAGCCTCCTCAGATGACCCGAGAGGCTGACTGGGATTAGCCCGTTAGCAGAAACAACTACAGGAATAATTTCAGTCGGCAGACCACCCCACATGTCGGTCACCTCGTGAGCCACGTCCAGATATTTTGTTCGTTTATCTGTTTTGGCTTTCACGAGGTTCTCGTCATACGGAATGGTAATGTCGACCAAAAATATCCTTGACTGTGCCCGGTCCATCAGCACAATATCAGGCTTATTCGCAAGAATAGTCCTGTCCGTGATGACGGATCGGTCCCAGTAGAGCCCGGCGCGATCATTTTCGAGCACGGCTTCCAGAATGTACTTGTAATACGGCAGTTTCCGATCCACGAGACCGTATTTCAGAGCGAGCTCCTGGTGAAGAATTCTGGCTACTAGGTTGCGCCTGTGCAAGTATTCAGAGTTAGAAAGCGCCGAACAACCGGAGATAACATGCCTAAGTGACTCACCAGGATGGCGACAAGCTCGACAGATGTCGACGGTGCCATCCTTTAGGATGTATCTCCGGTAGTTGTTGGTCTTAATGACCTTATCCTGTATTGCACAGACAAAACCCTCAGGTTTCCTCGAAGAGGTCACCATGGCGTAGCCAGTGGAGGGAGGCTACTGTGTCCACGAAAGGCTCATGTAGAGCCTTGTAGAACCTCCCGTGGAGCTCCTTCACCTTCCATACGGTCTCCCGGTCGAAAATGCTCTGCACTGACCGGGTCTTGCCATTGCTCGTTGGCTAAGGATAGAGGGGTAAGTCCTTTATCACAAAAAATGACGTCCTTATAGAATGGATCATCCGATCTCGCCGGGAAGTAATTACGGAGGCTGTACACTTCAATTATTATGGTGAGCGCGCTCAAAAAGCCACGCCCACCATGTTTTCGCGGCAAGTACAGCCTCATTACCGACGATATCGGATGATGCATCTCTTGGGACGTCATAGTAGTGCGGACTTTTCTATCCAGGGCGTTAAGTTCAGTCTGAGTCCACCTGAGTATGCCAAAGGTATACATGAGGACAGGCATGACGCAACCGTTATATGCGTGTGTCTTATTCACAATAGACAAAAGGCTGTTGAGCACTCTGGCCAAGCGTGCATAAAACACGTCGCAAACTGACTGTTTCATATCAGCCTCATCGACACCGATGTTCTGTGACACACCCAGGTATCGGTATGTTTCAGCCTCGGAAAGGGCCCTTAAACTGATGGGCATAGATGAGTCTATGCCCTCAGAGTTAGCAACCCTTCCCCTTTCAACATGGAGGACACACACTTATCCGTCCCCAGCTCCATTCCAATAGAATTGCTAAATTCATAAGTGATGTTTAGCAATTCCACTAACGCATTAATATTATTATTATGGGGTATTAGTAGTGTATTCTCATCTGTTTTGGCTGAATAAATATATAAAAGGAAAAGATAAATGTACATAAATATAATATTATATACCAAATAAATAAATAATACATAAATAAATAAAAGCCCAACCAGATGGAGGCCCTCGGCAGGGGAGACCAAACGGCCGAGGGTTAGGGGGAAAGGGAGAGAAACCGGCGGACGACGCGGGTGGTATCGAGGAGCACCGCCTTCTGCATTTGAGCCCGGAGCGTTCCGTCACGGAGTCCCAGTCGCCTCAGATGACCCGAGAGGCTGACTGGGATTAGCCCATTTGCAGAAGCGACTACAGGAATAATTCAGTCGGCAGAACACCCCACATGTCGGTCACCTAGTGAGCCAGGTCCAGATATTTTGTTTATTTATCTGTGGCCACGAGGGGGATGGTAATGTCGATCAAAAATATCCTTGACTGTGCCCGGTCCATCAGCACAATATCAGGCTTATTCGCAAGAATAGTCCTGTCCGTGATGATAACCCGATCCCAGTAGAGCCTGGCGCGGTCATTTTCGAGCACGGCTTCCAGCAAGTACTTGTAATACGGCAATTTCCGATCCACAAGACCGTATTTCAGAGCGAGCTCCTGGTGAAGAATTCTGGCTACTAGGTTGTGCCCGTGCAAGTACTCAGAGTTAGAAAGCGCCGAACAACCGGAGATGACATGCCTAAGTGACTCCCCGGGATGGCGACAAGCTCGACAGACGTCGACAGTGCCATCCTTTAGGATGTATCTCCGATCCGCGCTCAGGAAGCCACGCCCACCATGCTTTCGCGGCAAGTACAGCCTCATTACCGACGATCTCGGATGATGCATCCTATGGGACGTCATTGTAGTGCGGACTTTTCTATCCAGGGCGTTAAATTCAGTCTGACTCCACCTGAGTATGTATAGTAAGTATACATGAGGATAGGCATGACCCAACCGTTATATGCATGTGTCTTATTCACACCGGACAAAAGGCTGTTAAGCACTTTGGTCAAGCGTGCATAAAACACGTCGCCAACTGACTGTTTCATACCAGCCTCATCGATACCGATGTTCTGTGACATACCCAGGTATCGGTATGTTTCAGCCTCGGAAAGGGTCCTTAAGTTGACGGGCATAGATAAGTCTATGCCCTCTGAGTTAGCAACCCTTCCCCTTTTCAACATGGAGGACCGCACACTTATCCGTCCCCAGCTCCATTCCAATAGAATTGCTAAATTCACAAGTGATGTTTAGCAATTCCATAAGATGGGAGCGACTGGAGGGGAATAATTTGAGGTCATCCATATAGAAAAGGTTGATCACTTTTGTACCTCCCTTCCGAAGCTGAAATCCCCTCCCGGAGCCCTCCAGTAAAGTACTGAGAGGGTTCAAAGAGAGGCAGAACTAGATTGGACTCAGACGGTCGCCCTGGAATATACCCCTTCTTATCCTTATGCGGCTTTCCGCAGCCGTCATCCGCTCGCCCAGATGACAGAGGATCGTACTCCACTGCCCCATACACTGCTCGAGGAAGTCTCGAACTGTACAGTCAATCTTGTACAGCTCGAGGACCCTCTTTAGCCATGTATGGGGCACCGAGTCAAATGCCTTTCTGTAATCTATCCAAGCGGCGGAGAAGTTCCGACGGTTGCGTTTCACCACTTTTCCAATGACTGCGTCCATGAGGAGTGGTTCCTTGGTTCCACGACCGCCGCCCCGACATCCATTTTCAGCGCGCGACATCACCTGATTTGTGTCCAGGTGACGAGCGATTCTCGCGCTCAAAATTGATGTTAGTGTCTTGTATATAGTCGGTAGACACGTGATGGGGCGGTGTTTGCTCGGGTCTTTGGCACCCTGATCTTTAGGAACCAAATGAGTGATCCCAGTAGTGAAGAGGCTTGGGAGCGACTTCTGGTTGAGAGCCTCTTGAAACTGTCGGGCGAGCACAGCGTGACACACCATGAACCCCTTCAGCCAGTAGTGATGCAGCCCGTCAAGTACCGCACTTTTCCAGTTCGGGGCCCTACAGACCGCCTCAGCTACGTCATCCTGCGTTATGGTGACGGGATCCATGGGTGTAATACCCGCACACTGACTCACCACAACTTCCGTCCAAGGGCCCTCGTTGTGGTTTACGGGCTCTGACCACAGGCTCCGCCAGAATGCGACCGTGTCGGCCTGATTTGGTGCTGGGCCCGTTCCACTTACTATTGGTCGCTCCAATGATTTGTACAGCCTCTTCTGATCACTCTGGAAGAGACGATTCTGGTTGAACCGTGTAGACTTCTCGATATATCGCCGAATCCGCTTTCCCCAAGCAGCGATTCTTTGCTTCAGGTCGTCTATGCGCTCCGTCAGTTTTTGCGTTATATCCGGATTGGACAAACTAACATTTGTTCCAGCAAACGCCATCCTGACGGTGCGCACAATCCTTGGCCTGATATTGCCTGGCCTGAAGCATATCAGTCTGCCGATGAGGGCCCTAGCCCTTGCGAGTTTTTTAATTTTTTCTCCAGGCTGGGAGCATACTTTCCGGCGCGGCCGCGGGAAGGGCGCATACGGCAGACTGCCAGTGCGGCGCCAAAAAGAATTGAGTCCGTCTCGCAAAAGTCCCGGTTGGCTTCCAAGTAGGTAACCAGCATTGGGTTCAGAGCCCTCACGACAGCCCGATTCCGCTTGCTTAGGGCTAAGCGGGGAAGTCGCGGTCGATTTTCGAGAGGCGTACTGCGCGTTTCCACAATCGCCTCCTCCAATGTACTCCTCATTTGCTCTAGTTCCAATTCCTGGGCGACTGTTCCGTCATCGTTTGAATCAACCACAACTGGCTGGCTGGTATTCACGGCGGCATCCACATTTGCCGTATGCTCAGCAAGTTGTGGCGCCGCATCCTCAGCCGCAGCATTTTCACCCGATGAAGGAATAGCCTCATGTCGTAGCCGTTCGAGTTCGTTGACATCAAATGTATTTGAGCGCAAGATATACCGAACTCGGTCTGCCAGGTTTTGCTCGGTGACGGTTACAGATGGCTCCAGCTCAGCAAAAAGTCGATGCATCCTTGTCCGATACGCAAAACCTCCAGTTTCTCCCTCTTTCGCCCTAAAATACGCCTGCAATGCGTTGCTGTTCATCTGGGTTGTCCAACGCATGCGGCGTACTTCGCCAGTGGCGGGTGCCGATTGCTGGGCCCGCGAAGACCCTGCCGACACAAAACGAGCTGGTGGGGATGATGGATGCTAGGGGCTGCTGGGTGGTCGTGCAGCACCTCGCGCTCGGCTAGCGGTTCGCATGCTGTCGCGTCCAGCGCCAGCTCCAGACGCGCCCTGGCGACCTCCAGGCAGCGGCCCTTTGCGCGTTCTTCCGTATTCCATCATCCATAGTGGTGGGCATCATTTAGCGAGAGACGCCCAGATCCGGCGCCGTTTCATGGTGAGGCCATGTGCACAAGCGGGCCTTTGCACCTTAAATTTTTGCCGAGGCACGGCACTAACACCTCTCGGCAAGGTGCTGACTGACTGCGCTGACGTACCGGTTTTGTCACATAACCGTTACGTCAGCGGGCGATGGGGTCGTCACTTCCCTACGCCTTTTTATTATTGTTTTATTGATATTATTATAGTTATATATTATTATTAATTTTAAAATTATTATTAAAGATTAGCCTTAAAGATGTTTAACAAAGGTGAATTAGAATCATTTGTTAGTTCATTCAGCAGTGCATTGTTACCATTATTATTTTTTAAAATCTCCAACTGTTCCAGCACACACAGTCGCAGCCCCTTATTACAAGTATGTAAGACTTAAAAGGAATGGTCGCTGGCTAGGTTGTGTCCAGTGTCCAAGAGATGTTTAGCAAAATGGGATTTATCAGGATTGCAATTTCTGTACGCAGCCAAATGCTCTTTATAGCACGTCCCGAAATTCCGACCAGTCTGACCCACGTAAACGGCGTGGAATTCGTCACAAACAAGTTTATAAACACCCGATTTTTGAGTAATATTTAACTTATCTTTATTATTACAAATATTCCTAAGCGAATTGTTTGTTTTGAATGCCACGTTAATGCCGTTTTTCTAAGAGTATTAGCTATTTTTTCCCATATGGAGCCTAAATAGGTCAAACTACCCACACATCGCCAGACACTTTGAGATCGAACCGCGTACAAAGAATTGCGAACAACATGTTTTTGTTTCTTTTTAATAAGATTATTAATGTGGTTTTTTGAAAAACCATTAGAGACTGCAATTTGACAAATTATATTAAGTTCTTTTAAATAATTTTCTTAACTTAATGGAACAGTGAACAGACGGTTAATGTAACAATAAAAAGCGGCTAATTTATGTTGCCATGGATGACACGATGACGCGGGGATGACCGTGTCGGTATGAGTTGCCTTTCGATAAATTTGAAAAACATGCAACGACTCTTTTCTTGTTATTGTTAAGTTAAGGAAATTAAGGGAGCAATCTTGTTCCAATTCAAGCTTAAATTTAATTTTTTCGTGGACTCTATTTTATTAAGGAAAACATACTGTGGGTAGGTGCGGTCGCATGCGACCGCTCAGGATTTGCCGGGCGCATGCGACTGCATGGGATTTTTATGGCGCTTGAAGGGTTAAGTGCGAGTACAGTGCTTAATTCTTCAAAAGACAAAATTTAATCTCCAATTACGCGATAAAGATGATTCTTTAAGCTTCGTGTACAATCAGAAACCACTCGATGCACTTCTCAGCTAAGATGTGAGGGAAAATGAGTTCAGCGTTTACCATAACACATTCCTGTCCACTCTGTCATAAGCCTTTTCCAAGTCCATGAGCGCACAAAAAACTTTCTGGTTTCTCGCCAAAAACTTCTCCGCGATCATGCGCATGGAAAAGACTTGATATGTCTTCCCTTTCATTGTTTTTCATTGATACCCCCTTCCCTTTCTAAATCTCGTTTGCACATCCCAAATTTTTCCATCAGTTTCCTTCATGGCCCTTTCAATTAGTACCTTAGCATACAGTTTTCCCACAATACTTAGAAGGCTAATACCACGTTAGTTTTTGCAGTCCTGCAGCGCTCTTTTTCCTTTATTTATTGGGAATATCACGGATTTGCACCATTCTTCCGATACCTGTTGCAGTTCCCAGCATAAATTAAATAAGGTGTACAGCAGACCTGCCACCACTTCCTCTCCAGCCCTTAGCATTTCGAGTGAAACTCTATCTCTACTCTATCATATCCAGCTGCTTTACCTGTTTTCATTCTTTTTATTGTTTTCATTATTTCATCTATACTTATCTCGCTATCTCTTTCCTCTTCTTTCGGAGTTTCTATTTCATTTAGTTGATACGTCGTCTCCTCAATCATAAACACGCTTTCAAAATATTCCTTCTATCTCTTTAAATTCAAAACTTCATCATGCAGAATATAGCCATTCTCGTCTCTTCTAGTATTAATAATAGGCTATTTTGAATGTGCCCTGGCAGTTCTTACGAGTTTTCAGAAAATTTTAATATTTGCCTGGAAGTATTCCTATTTAATTATATATTTGATTATTATGATATCATTATTGTCCATTCTTTCTTGCTTTTTCCTTTCAACTACTTCTTTTACTCTCTTATTTTGATGTCTAAAGGCTGCTTTTTTTCTTTCAATATCATCATTCGAATCGCCAGAATTACCAGCCTTTGTTGCTAGTAAATCCAGCCATGCTCTTTTCTTTGCTTCAATATCTATATGTACCTCATCATCCCACCATAACTTATTATTTTTCCTTTCGTTTGTTTTCTTACTAACACTACATACTTCGGTAGATGTATCCACTAAACCTTTCTTAGCATCTTGCCATACATTCTCCAAGTCTGGCTCATTCATATATAATTCCTCCAAACCACTCATTTTTTCTTTCAGTCTACATTTGTACTTGATTTTCTCGCCTTCATCTTGTAACCTTTCTGTTTTAATATGCTGTAACACAGTGGTAGGCACAGATGTCCGATGGCACCAACGTCTGAATAGACCGTTCCTACGTCGGACCCCTGGTAAACCTTTAGTATCTACCACTGAGCTCCTCATTTTTTCATCCACAATCATGAAATCTATCGTGCTTCTATAATAACAATCATAAAAAAGGAGATGGGCGCTAGCATGTAAACACTACTTTCGATTGTGCTCCTGCTAAAATATTTAAAAAATAGTTTATTACAACTACGAACTGTGAAATGTGCATCAAAGTGAAACTCAACACCTAAAGTGACTTTGACAGTGTTATCGACGGCCCTTGTGCACGTATAACCAAAATAACTAAAATAACAGTGAGTAAACTTTACCCAAATAGTGACTTGCATTACGTGAAAATGGATTTTTGTAAGTTGATTTTTGTAAGTTGATCATGAACATATAGTGAACATAAAGTGACTCCCAGACTCAATATTGTGGACTACACATTTTTAAAACTTTGAAATACTTTCATATATTACTCTTACACAGTGACTTGCAAAATCTCCCACGGAAAGTTTCGTTTTTTATTTGAAACTGTGTGACTACAGCGCCATCTTGTGTCATATCGTAACACTGACTTATATTGTTGCCATTATTCAAACAGTGTGGCCAGATAATATAAGATTAAAATTGAATTCAGAGACATCTATTGGCATTTACACACATCATATAGAATCGCAGTAGGAATGCCAATTTCAACGTCATATGTATATTATCACTTGGTCTAGTGGCGTGACGTCCTACCTCGTAGTAAGTGTGACTTAGAAGGTTCGGGTTCAATACTCACTGGCGGGAATTATTTTTGAACGTTGTATATCGTTCTCGGGATGAATTCCTTGGAAAATATAACGTTCCGGTGCGCACGTACACTGTCGGAACCAAACAACGATGAAAGTAGCGACTATATATTACAGACTTTGAACTGTACGACTAATAGTTTGCATGATATTTCCGAAGACGAAGATGTTAATCAAATAAAAATATTAAAAGATGAGATTGCTAGCCTAGCGTCCCAGTTAAAGAGTGCGCATGAAAAAATTTAATTGCTGTCGATAGAAAACAGTAATTTTTAAAAAAAAGCAACGAAGATTACAAAAACAAGAATGATATTAACAAAAATTTGGTCAGCAGTCCAGGGAAAAATAAAAATAAAATTAATACACCATCAAAAAAGTCCCAGAAAAATCAAAAATCTAAAGAGACGCAGACTATTGACATTGCAGAAAAAGAACACTCTCTATCTTCGAATGTCAATAAAACTGTCAATAAAATTATAATAGTCAATACAAGTACACACAGATACAAGTTTAACTAACGTAGATCGTAACACGCAAGGAAAAACAAGGCAAACAATAGAATATCGGTCCAGAAAACAGAAAATATGCCTCATAAGCAGTGAAACCTCTAATGGACTATATACTATGGCCGAATCAACCAGTTTAAATAATTATGATATCTGTCATTATCGGAAACCTAAATGTGGCCTACGTCAATACGGAATTGAGGGAAAAGTGAAAGATTTTAATTATTTGGACTATTGCATTATTTTTATTGGCGAGGAAGATTTTCGTGCAACCCATAACTACATAGAGCTTGTCATGTTTCTCAGAGAAAAATTGTTAAACCTTATACACACAAACTTTATAATTTGCTTACCCACTTTTAAGTATATGAAGAATGTTATAACATAATGTTTAACAGTCGCGTAGAAACTTTTAACAACCTTCTTTATTTAGATGTAAACTCATTTAATTACGCGCACATCCTAGATTCAAACCTCAACCTACCCTATGATCATGGTACGTACAACAAACGCTATGGCTCTTTAAATAATTATGGTTTAAAGATTGTCGTATCAGATTTGCAAGACCTAATTCTTGATCTAGGCAACCTGAATACTTTGGACAGGAGGTTGACTGCTCCCTAGAAAATCAAAGCCTAAATGAATTACCTAAAGAATCGCAACAGATAAACTCGCAGTTTTTTCTATAACTACGTCAACATTCTGCATTCTGAGCCATCTAACCATTCAGAATCTCATCATCTTTTATCAGAATGTTCGCGGCATTAAG